CACTCCTCTTTCCATCATTTTCTGTAGCCTTTTCTTTCTTTTTCTTTCCCTTTCTTTTGATTTTTTATCTCTGAATTTATTTACGTTAAAAGGCAGCGAGCAGAACTGTGTCACATAAATACAGTAAAATGTAACACAATCTCAGCTTGGCACCTTCTGCTTGTTTTATTTCAGTGTTTCTTTCTTCCTCCAAGCAGGAGAAAAACACGCTCTCGTCTGGCATCATGAACAAACAGAAACGTACTGTGTAAGCAGTCACAAATCTGTCACAGATCTGATTTTCCAGAATATTTCTACTGTTGGTGACCTACAGTTGTCATGGTGGTATAAAACAGGAGAGCGTGGTATGGATGGATGTTTGAAGGGGACAGACCCCTTTAAGGGGGAGACATCTGTTAATTGAGCCTCCTAACTGATGCAGTAGTTTTTTCCCTTCAGGCAGGAAGAAAGCTTTAAGTTGTCGGGTCTTATCAATCCTGCCCGTCAGCGGGGCCCCCCAGGAGGTTTGGCACCGCTCACCCTGAACTAAAAGATGGATTGATCGTATTTTGCAAGGCTACATCATGTGCAGCCTTCGCATCATGCCCAGACTTTGTTTATGTGAAACCAGCGGTCTTGCCTGAGCATCTGACATCAGGATCTTCCACAGATCAATCACAGCAGCAGTACAAACTGCATAATGCTCTTTATTTGTTTTTCTTACCTGGGACTGTGCTTGAAGAGTTCGTTTCAGTTCATCGCTCTCTGGAAAGGGCATGGAGCTTTTGTCACAGGCTACCTTGTGGAGCTCTTCCAAGCACTTTGCAGATTTGCTGTGGCAAACTGCATGTAAGTAGGCAGGATTTTTCAAGCCGCTCATGGCACATTCGTAAAAAGTTCCGTTGAGCAAAGCCACAGAAAGCCACATCACTGGGGCTACCAGCGCGTTTAAAGTGATTTGTCCGAAGACGTAAAAGCAATTGCAGATATTCCCTCGGGGGAATATTTTTCTGGGATTCACCCAGCAGCCTGTAAAGAGTTTCCAGGTCTTGCTGTTCAAGAAATATCCAATAACCAGCAAAACAAAAGCTGGGGAAAAGAGAAATACCAAACCGTACCTGAAGTTTTCATTGCTGCAGGGACATCTGAAAGCAACAAGAGAAAACACACGTTCACCTCCCATTGTCAGCAGCGCCATAAAGCTGTAACCTATCGCAGTTTTCTGGTTCATAAAGAATTTCAGGACTGTTTGGAAACTATCCATGTTTGATACTCACTAAAAAAGGGAAAAATCAAGACACTTTTATCTTCGGTCGCAGCAGCCCGTAGCGATGTAGCGGGGGGAGCTCTGCAGAGGACGAGCTCTGCTGGCCTGCCCGGATAACGCTGTGATGTCACCGTCCGGAGAAACGCGCTCACAGGGGAGCCCTCCACCAGCACAGCAGATGTTGCGTGTTTACAGCAACATCCATCAGCAGTTGAAGGCAGGCAAGCAATGCTCTATATAATCCAGTAAGTTTCTAGGCTTGGCAGTCCTGTTCTTGGTGGTTTGTTGTTGTTTTGTGACTGCAGATGGAGACCAGAGTGAAAACACACAGCCACCACTTGCAGGAGTGCTTGAGCTGTGATTGTCAAAGTCGCCGGCGATGTAGGGAAGGCCCTAATATAGATGCTAATGGTCCCAGGGGAGCGCGACATGACTGAAAGCAGACGAGCGATAACAGCAAAACCACTTTGTATGGGGTTGTAAATGTAGGAGCATCAAAAACAGAATAAGCAGCCATCTGCTGTACTTCCCTGGAGCATCACAGAGTGCCAGATTTGTGTCTCTGGCTCAAGCTGATCACAGAAGAGACAAATCTGGGTTGATTCCCAGCCTGTCTCTCCCTTCTCCCTATTTTCCAGGGGTAAAGCTAATCTACAGGATGCTACATCCTAAAGTTTAACCCTCTGGTTTGCACGCAACAAATTGAAGCAGCAAAGTTTCATCCTTTTGCAGGTTGCTTTCAAGATGTACCTTGGGGTCACCCCCAGTGTGAGCTGCAGCAGTGCCGCAGGGAATGAATTCTCCTTAATCCTGGACAAAAACCCACTAGTGGACTTTGTGGAGGAGCTGCCAGCAGAACGAGCATCACTTTGCTACTGTAACCTCCTCTGCGGGGTGATTCGAGGTGCCTTGGAAATGGTAAGGAAGGGCACGTCTGTTTTCTCCGTTCTTTGTTAATCTGCAGAGGCACGGGAAAGCAAACCCACTTGCTCAGATAAATGAGATGTAGTAATGCCGAACCTCTCTCTCAGACCGCATGTCTGTCTCTAAATAAAAGAGAGCCCGAGTGATGTGGGATGCTGAGGCCGAGAAGCACACCGACGGGCTCACCTCCGCACCATCCCTGCTTGGCTCTTCAGCGCCCGGCTCCGGTGCAAAAGCTGGGACCGGGGGGGCTGGCTAACAGGGAATGGGGCGAGCCGGAGGGCGTGCTGGCCTCCCCCCTGCCCCTTCAGCCTGTCTTACCTCCCCGCATAGCTGTAACCAGGATTAGCCGTCCCTGAGCCTTTCCAAATACATGGACATAAATAATATTCTGAGGTTACCGCAGCGCCTGCTGAAAGGGAGAACAAAGTGTGGATGAGTGTAACGTTAAAACCTAAGCATCAGGAGTGTATCAGATGGCATTCCAAATTTTGTTCTTAAATTTAAGACTTTTACAAAAGAATAAACAAAGGGCATTGTTTGAAAGTCGCTGAGCTGTACAGCTTCTGTGGTGTTTTCTGGAAGAGCACTTTTGGGCTGCTTTATGTTTCTGTCAGCATCTAATTTGTCCTATATCTTACGTTTCAAGAAAACAAAAGCTGTACAAGTATTATGTATCTACGTCAGTCTCAGAATTATAGTACCTGTTGAAAGACTAATTAACAGAAGTATTATAAGTATTCGTGCATGACCAGGAAATTTTATGATGACAGAATCATCAAGTACCCAATTTAGGTTCTTGGAAGAAAGCAAAGCACTGGGATGAAGGGCAATGTATTACGCAAATTCCAGTGTGTATAAACTTCCTTCTTATTAACTTGGTTGGGAAAGAGATTTTAAAACAATCTTGAAATCTGTTTCTTATGAAACCTGACAAAGGGGATCCCCTTGTGGTGAGAGAGAGAGGGAAAGCTCCTTATACTGGAGGGAGGGGAAAAAAAGGGCATTTCTTTGCTTAACAGATCAGACGTGATTCTTTCCAGGTTCACTTGGCAGCAGATGTTACCTTCCTGCAGGACAGGCTGAAGGGCGATGCTGTGACAGAAATAGGAATCACGTTTTTAAGGAAGGCTGAAGACAGAAAGCACAAAAGAAACAAATGAAAGAAATGTTGGGAGAAACCCTTGCTGAGGGATATTTTGCACCTTTTGTTTCTGGAGAAGACAGGCAGGGTAAAAAAGGCTTCCCTCAGCCGGCTGCACCAGTCCTACCTTTGAAAGGTGAAGCGAGCCGGGCGGCAAACAGGAGGGGCAGAGCAATGTTAATTGTCGTGACACAGGTATCAGTATTCTTCCTTCTCACATAACCATGCTCTTGAGCTGAACGGGGGTTTTGTTTTGGTATTTAATGCACGCTGGATGCAAAATACTCATTCGGACGCCAACAGTTTTCAGCTCACGGTGACCACCTTTTCCCATTCCGTTTGTCGGTGGTGTTTAGAGGCACGGTTGCTAAGGGGTGCGTTACTTCCCTGGCTGTTTGCAATTAGGAATAACGAGTCCGTTGCTGTGACTGCTGCATGCAGCCTCTCCCTGCCAGGGGCCTGTTTTGGTGCGTGATGGTTTGCCATTCCTTATCCTCCACACGGCTCACCCTGCTCCCCTTGAAACCAGAGAGGGATGCGGTTTCGCTGGTGGCAGGAGCCGGTCCCTTGCGGCTCTTTCAGGCCCCGAACGCGGTTTTGCTGGCATGCCCGTTCAGCTCTGCGCCTACGTCTGGTTGCAGCACTCTGACGACCGCGGCAATGCTGGTGTTGCTTCAAGCTACGGGCCTTTTCATATCAGTCTCCCCTTCAAGAGCACCGATCTGATGACCAAACTGAACCAAGCATGCTGTATTTAATGTATAGTCACTGTGGACTTGTACTTCACCTAAGGAAACTGGAATAAAAATTCAGAGATTACCAAACATCAGTTTGCTGGTCATTGCCTCTGTTCTTACCCGACCTTCATCACCGGCCGTTGAACATCTGCCACTTGGCAGAGGACTTCTGTTACCACCACGTGACTGAAGCAGAGAAACAGCAGCCTCACAGAGAACCTGAGTTTTAGGAAAGGTTTCATGTTGTCCAGTCTAATGCGAGATATCAGGGTAAGGGTTGGACAAAAACCCAGGTTCCGAGTCCTAGCACAGCACCCTACCCACAAAGCCAGCTCACCTTCTTCTCACCAAAGCCCTTGTTTTAAATCGAAATGCAAACCCTCAATTCAGTTCAGTGAAGCCCAGAGCTACCTCTGATTTGATCACTGTGATTTGTACCCTCACCTCCTATTTTTCCCTCCGTCTGTTTACCTCTTAATCCTGCTGAGTAAGGGGCACCTCTTACCTTGGGGACAGCGGGGTTCACTCCCACCGGAGCTGTACAATCCTCACGATAATCTCTCTCTTATGAAGTAAATAAATGTTAGGTAGAAAAATGGTAATAAACTACAGAAAAAATAGTGACCCACACTGCGTTACCATTAGTTGCTGACATCAGCTACCCTATGCACATACAGGTTTTTGCTTGTCTCACTTGGTAGCACATTCAGAGGAGGGTTCCTCCCTGTTTCATTTCAGTGTAGGCACTTCTTTTGAAGGTGGCTAACAGAGCATCACAGGTGTGCTGAAGCTTCTCTGAAATTTCTCTTGTTATAAATGTAATTACGTCTAGAAGACACAAGTGTTACATAAAGGTGAGGGAAAAATCAAAATTCAAACATGACTGCATACAAAACCAATATATAAAAATCTGCTTCTACCCTTATACATAGATATTAATTTTTTCCTTCCCCCAAAAATCACTTTGTCTCTGAAAAATAGACTGCCACCATTGCCAGCAAACTTGAAGATCTGTACTGCAGTCCCATTTGGAGCCTTTACTCATTGATTTTAATTAGAAGTGCCGGCTCCGTGTCTCCCCTGGAAAGCTGAGGTAGCTTTGGTAATGAGACCCTGGCAGTTGCGACCACGAGTGGGAAGTGGGCAAAGCCCACCCAGATGCAGCTGAGAGGATTAACACAAATTCTGAGGGTGTTTTTGCTGCAGCTTCTCGTCAGGAAATGAAATAAGGCATGGCTTGTTCCTGGAGGCTTTCCATCCCTCCTGAAGTGTTTTCTTATCTCTCTAAGGGAAAGCCCGGCCCCACTGCGTCAAGGAACATTTTGGCGCTCATCACAGTGGGGCCAGGACATTGTTTTCTTCCCATTTATAACATTCCAGAATAGATTTATCTTTCTCTAGACGTCAATGAACAAATGAACTCTTCAACACAAGAGGTAAAACGGTACATTTTTAACTGAACCGTGCTTCCTGGAGGCACAAGTACCAAACTGGACCCTTGTTACTCCATTATCATCAAGTTTCTTGGAAGGAAAAGAGCACTGAGCAAGTCAGTGACTCTGTGAGAAAATGAATGCTTTTAAAAATTCTTTTCTACATACAGAATTAAATCTTGTTTTCCCTTTATGTGTTATTTTCAGTTTATAATGAGAAGGAAGCTTCCAAGCTAGTTGTATCCAGCTAGTTAAAACAGGCTCTTCCCTTCCTTCTTCCTTGGAAAATGACTGTAACAACCAACTTCATGGGATTCCTCTCTGTCTGTCTGAATTGTTTCCAAGTTAGACTTTACTGTCTAGAAAGAGAAGATTTCTGGGAGGAGTGAAAGGACAGCTCGGACCAAACAATCTGACTCACCTCCCTAAAAAAAAGCTTTTCAGAGAAAAACTGAGCTTTAGCATTCTTCATTCAAAACTAGCATCTTTGTTTCTTATAATTAGATGTTCTTTGGTAAGAACATTATTATTTGCTAATATGGATTGAAGATTTCTAATGTCCTTAAGTATGTAGCTGTGCTATAAATATTTGTCAATATAAGCTTCACCTGTACTGCCATGTTAAGCATAAGCCTAACTCCTCAAGACGTGCTGCTTTGCACTTCGACTCCATTCTGGATCAAGTTAAATAATGCATTTGGCAGGGGCATTCAAGTGTAGCTTAGGTACTGATGCCAGGACCAAAACCCTGTAAGTAATATTATATATTTAAAAAACCCCGTAATAATTATGTATTTTTCAGAAAAAAAATATAAATGGAATATAAACAGGAAGTTTAATGTTGGTGTGTTTTCCCTGCAGCATCCAGATGCCTATTTTTTTCCATTAAAGAGCTTTACGATTACAGGAAATGAGCAGTAGAGATAATTAAGAAGGTCTGCTGCAAAAGGTGATCAAGATCAGGCAGTGGTAAAGAAAATTTGCCACCATGGAAGCTTTTAGTTTTACTGGTACTACCTAAGGCTGCTGGGCCGGTGGGGTAAAATGGCTGGAATCTTTTTGCTCACCTGTTCAAACTGCTAAGCAGCCAAAGTCATTCCGATGGACTCCTCTGTTATGCACAGGTAGCTTCAAAACGCTAACTGCTTCCCAGATTTTAAAAGATACAGTCCTTGCCTTGAGAAACCAGTTGACTGAAAGCAAATATTTCAGTCTAGATCTTGCTCTAAGCTCCACTGAAAGATATATTGTCAAGTGAGAGCTAATAAACTAAGCTGAATTTCTGATCAAAACTTCCATGCCTTTTTGTCTCTCTGATGCTGCCAGGTACGAGGGTTCGATGTTGTCACTTCAGCTGCCAAATGCCCTTAAGGGGTTTGGTAATAATTTGCCATAGTATGTGCTCACATCTTTGTGGATGCTTATTATTTTACACAGGTGACTCTTCTTAATGAACAACGGCGTATGAAAACTCCCATCGTGACAGAGGTATTTATTTAAAGGTACTTAAGCAAAAGCAATAAAGCGTATTTAAAAACAAATCTGCTGAGGGTTACAGCTATCAGCTTTTACATACAATTCGCATAGATTTCAGTAAAAGCACAGAATAAGAGTCTGGTATCAATAGGGTTAAAATACTGCCAGTGTTGCCAAGGATTTGTTTCATTAAAACCCTGATTCTCTTGCACTTGTTTCATCCACCAACTCTGAAACAAGGAGATTCTGATCTCCTTGCATGACCCTGTTGCTGCTGCCTCTCCTTTCGTTAACGTACGCGTGTAACATGCTGTAATACTGCTTTTGCGGATCGAAGGTATAGAGGAGCGAAATGTTCTGCCAGTCTGTATTGCTGGGAGTCGTAAATGATGCTGGGTCAGTGCCTCCAAAAAAGTCATCCACATTTCTTTCTGCCAGCCTGGTTGCATGCTCTTGAACCTTCCTCTCAAAGACCTCCTCTTCCTTTTTCAAGTAAGTTGCCTGGAACTTGTGCTGAAGATAGCTAACCGGGGAGCGACAGCGTTTGACACATGTTGAGATCAGTGCTATGGCCATGATGACGACTATCAGGAGCCATCCTATCAGCTTGGAAAAGAGAGAGAGGGGTTAACGGTGGGTTTGCATGGTCATACGTAGGAGTGCAGAACTTAACACTGAGGCAGACATGAGAACCGTAGGCGAAGACACCCTGGAGTGCCTGTATCGGTCTGCTCACTGCCAAAAGGTGGCATCAGGTATACGGTTGGACTTGATGATCTTTGAGGTCTCTTCCAACCATAATGATTCTATGATTCTATGAAAAGGGAGGCTGCCGCGCACACAGTCCAGCCAGCCTTACCCAGCTGCTACACCCCCGAACTGGTCTTGCGGGCTGAGGGTGAATACCACAAAAAGAGAAGGTGGAGCGAAGACCTTCTCTCAGTTATATCCAGCTTTTTTAACTTTCGAGGCAAGATGCTGACCAGCACTTTCTGCAGTTGTGGTCAGATTTACGGTACAGGGGGTGCAGGATCTCCCTGATGCTGCGAATCAGACCTCCTGCTGGCTGTGCTTGATGTGCTCTTCCAAAGGACCTCCTCTCCCTCATGTCCGAGCCTGCGAAAACCAGCCAGTTGCCACAGGACACAGGAAAAGTCGTGTCCTGTATGTTTTGTAGGCAGGACACGGACTTGACTGTTGAAAATGGGAATTCATTCTCGTTTTATGCATGCCCTAACATCCCTAGGTAAGCCTCAGAGGCCCCACCTAGAGCGGGTGTCCCAGTAGATGCTGGTCCCTCCAGCACCCAGGGGTGCTTAGCTGGAAGCTCCAGGCAGAGATCTCACAGCATCTCCTTTCACCTCAGGCTGACTTTATTTTTTTTTTCCAAGTGAAAAACATTGAGTGCTAAAGAGAAATGAGTTTGTGGTCTTTTTGGTTCTTAATTTTGTTGAAAGTAGATCAGATATTAAAAATAATGGCCAGTAATAAAAATGCTCTCACACTTCTTCTGGTTTTGTTTGCCTGGTTTGTTTCTTTTAGATTTCCTTGCAATATCAGTAACGGTCAGTGTTCCTTGATTTTGCTTCATTCTTACCCTATCTGAATTAATGGTACAGAGTTTGTCCCTTTTCAGCCTTTTTCTTGGAGGAGCAGTATGCTAAAAAGTTAACAAATATAAACACTTTTTTAGTTTTAATAAACAGTTGTACTAAACATGAACTTATAAAAATCCAAGTAATGATCATCTCTTATAAACTTAACTCCATTAACCAGCCTTAATGTTTTCTTGAGAAAAAGTAATAAAACCTGATTTTTCTACTGGAGTTAAGACAACAACCAAAGAGACCCAGAAACAGTACTGGAGTGCTGCCAAAATTTGGGGGTCTCATTTCGCTCCAAACAAAAAAACCCACCCACAAGTGTTATTTTTTTGATCATGCAGTTTGCCTTCAGCACAAGAACACTTTAATAAGACAGATACGTATTTTAACTATTCCTTAGAATACAAGTGTGAAATTATGAACAGGTTCAAGCGCTGAGATTCGTAGTTGAACACGCTGCCCTTATTTGCTTCACTTGCCAGTTCTCTGTCGCAAGCAGACTTCAGCTTTCTCTCCGTTCGCGACCTCAGCTAATGTGTGCTTACACAAAGAAGTTTGAGGTATTTAGAGAAGTAAAAGTGGAAAAAGAGAACTCACACAATGCCTAAGTTAAACGAGAAGAAAATGCCCTGTGGAAAGTCCTGATCTCTAGGCTGGGAAGAGAACCACTGAAAGAGGTTTTGTAAACGCCAGTGCCCAGCGATTGCAAACAAATCAAACACCAAACATGCGAAACCAGAAAACAGCGCGAACATACGCTCATTACCTTTCTGATAGTGTGGGGTTTTTTGCCAATGAATTTTTGCTAATTGTGTACTTTTGGTACTTATAGGACGTGAGAGAGAAGGACCGCTTACGGTGCCCAGCAGGCAGAAGCCCGCGGTGGGCAGCCGGGGTTGAAGCCCGTAGGGTGACGAGCGGCGAGGCGTTACCTGGGACTGCGCCTGAAGGCTGAGGGCTTCCTTCGATACCTCCTCGGAAAACTTCGGATTACAGGGGATTTTGGCCACCAGATCTTGGCACTGTTGTCCTTTATCTTTACACATGATGCTCTTTATCAGGCTGTTCCCGCTGGCCGCGCACTCGTAGAAGCTGGCTCCCAGCAGGGCCACCGCCAACCAGGTGACCGGGGCCACCGATGCGCTGGCTGTCACCAGCACCAGCGTTTGGCAGTAACGGGCGCAGATTGCCCGCTTATCCAAAGAGCAGACGCCAGTCAGCAGATGCCATGTCTTGGGGTTCACCACGTAGCCAAGAAGAAAGAGGATGAAGGCGGGCACTATGAGGAAGATGGAGCCGTACAGCATGTTCCCAGAATCGCAGGGACACTTGAACACCACGGATGAGAAGATGTGCTCGCTGGCAGCCGTCAGCAGGGACACAAAGCTGTAACTCAGAACGGTCTGGTGGTGGATGCAGAAATCCAGTACCCCGCGTAACTTATCCATTTTCTGCCTTCCCTTGCTTTGAGGAGAGCGAAATCTCAGTCAGAAAAGGAAAAGAGAAAGACGAGTGTCCTGAAGCTCCCACGGCTTAAAGAAACTGGCAGAGCTTTCACTTTCTGTTGCTGGCGGTGCTGCAGGGAGACGCAGGAGCCGCTCGGCTTGGAGGAAACAGAGGAGCAGGGGCTCACTGCACAGTGCCGAGGTCAAGCGGAGACCAGACTCCAAACCCACCCCACTAATCAACATCAAAACAACAAAGATCTACTTTTTTTTCTATAAAGATTGTTTGTATTTGTCCACATGTGCATTGTAACTAGCAACAGCTTAAACCTCACCATCTTTTCAGTGAAGCTTCTCAGTGAGGCGACAGATTAGAAGTGTGAATAAAATGTGAGGAAACCACCCAAAACTGTGTACAGTTTTTCATCCTGCCTTATTATTAGCAATACAATATGGCTTGTTCTCTTATGGAAGAAAATTCAACTATAATCCTGTTAACTTTTCATTGGTCTTTTTAAAGTAGTTAGAGCAAATTAGCCAGTGCATACAAAGCGATGACCCAGCACGTGATTTCCACTAAAGCTCCAGCTACCAGAGTACCATGTGCCAGGAACCAGACTTTGGAGTCCCCTCCATAGCAGGTTTGGAGCGACTTTGGAGCCCAGAAAAAAAACCCACCCCGAAACCGAGCAGATGACATAAAGTGGAAAAGGCTTGCATGATGAAGAAAAATATCTGGAGGGGATTCCTGGGCTTGGAAGACTCAGCTGCCTACGAAAACATTTGCTCCCAGAGTCCGTGGGTCTCATTCATGTCGAGGGAGCTCGCCCAGGCTCCTAGCTAAGGTTTGTCTTGTCTAAAGCTAGATGAGGTGAACTGGCACTCAGCCTTAAGGAAGTTGAGGCTTTGTTACTTGCTCGTAGCCACGCCGCTGAAGCTCTCTGAGGTGATGCAGGCAGTGCGGTAGTTTGCTGTCATCGCATCCTTGGTGACAACCAGATGTGCAGCCAGCCGCGGAGCGGGTGGTCACCGTCATCTGCTCTGCCACCACCACTTATCTGGCATCTTAGAGTCAAAATGCTGGCCTTGGTCTGGAAGAGACTTTGCTTTGTTATTATGCAGTGGTATAATACAAAGACGTCAAACCAAAAAGGACACAAGCCCAGTAAGAGTGGGTCAGACTGAAGGCTGAGTTAGTCTGGTCGCCTCTTGGCTACCGCGGATAGCTGAGGAGGAGCACAGGGACGGGGAAGGCAAGCTCGGGGACGACTCACACCCTGAGAATCTGCATTTTGGGGATTTCATTTGCATCTAACACCTGTTGAGGTATTTCTTCTCTAAATTTGTCTGGTTTCAATTTTAACTCATGCAGACTTTTTAACAGCCAAAACATTGCATAGCAAGGGTGCTTAACCTTCATTCAAACCTGACCCCCACCCCATTCGATGCCCCCAAGTTCTGGAAGGGTCCTTACCCGGTGTCTCCATCATCTCATGATCTCATACACCTTCATCATAGCCCCCTCTTTTCCACGCTGAGGAGCTCCTAATATATTTAATCAGTCCTTCTCTGATGTATACCTTTGTATACTTTTTTTTTAAAATCCATGTTTCCACCAGAACCATTCTCTAGGATTCCAGTATCATTTTTTACACGAGGGGAAATGGGGCGTATACCAGATTTGCAGCTGAATCACAGTTTGCTAGAACAGCAGACTGACATGAGTTTGTTTTCTATGTCCTTACAGTAATTTCAAGAATTTTAACTGCTTTTTGATCATCTGTGAAGCACTGAGTTGATGGCAGAAATAACAGAAGCAAGGTGAAACCGCTGCAGAGACACCCCATTACAGAGACGGGGAGGTGGGCTGCCTCCGAGAACCAGGGAACCTGAGGGCCAGGAGCAGCTCTCTGGAGCAGGTAACGACCACACAGGGGAAAAAGTACAGCCAGGAAACCCTGCTTGTTCGGAGCCTAATTTTAGCAGTAATAAAATACGATTTCAGGAACAGGCTTTCCGGGAAAAGGGAGGGGAGCTTTGTGTGAAAAAGGATTAACCCTCCCCTCCGAGCAAACACGTGTCCAGTAAAGACTGGCAGAAAGAGGTGGGAGAGGGAGGAGAGACCACCCTGGTTGGAAAGCGGGGGATTAGCTGTGCTAGGAGTCAAGTGGGGTGCAGCGACGGCTGGGGGCCCCCTGCTGGCGGCAGCCTTGGGAGCCGAGGGACTGGAGGGGTCCTGGAGGGGTCCTGGGGAGCTGGAGGGGGTCCCAGGGGACTGGAGGGGTTCTGGGGGGGTCCTGGGGAGCTGGAGGGGGTCCCAGGGGGCTGGATGGGTCCCAGACAGGAGGAGCTGGGGGCCTGGGGCATGCGGAGCCCTACGGTTCGGCTGCTTGCGCATCCTGGTCACCTCTGAGCACAGTTCTCCCCGGCCAGCTCTTGCTTGCCCTCTAAATTAACACTTGTCTTGCTGCAACAGCTGTAAAGTATTAACTGGAAAGAGTTCAGAGAAATAGTTTTCTGTTAAAGAACCCAGAATTCCAATTTAATGGTTGCTTTTGCATTGATTGGCATTAAATTTCATATTAAATTTCATACCTTCCGAGAGGA